TTTTGTTTTGTTTTTTTTGTTTTAAAGTTGCGCACTGAAAAGTTAAGGGTTGTTTATTTCATTTAACCTAATATGACATTGGCTGTTCTGAGTCGATGGGTGTTTAGGCTACACACGTACTACACAGGTTACATGCATGAAGAACAGGGTGTTCTGTTTTTAAAAGAAAATGTTTTGATCACGTATGCCCACTTCTCTATGGCTTGAGTCACAACCACTGCTGACGGTACAGACATCCAGTGAAAAGGGCTATCTTCATACAGTGGGGTTAATTTAGTCTCCTGATTTAATGATTGTCCTATGACGCGTTGGTGTGACAAAGATGCCAGAGATGAAGGCTGATGGACCACTGTAGTCCTTGTAGGATCCAGAACAGAGCTAGAGTTGTACTACTTCCTTACTGAGGCATATTGCAAAAATAACGCAGTACGCACAATTGCATGGATTCACTATTTAGCCAGTCAGAAGACATGAGCAGCCTCGCTTGCCTGCTTTTAAGTATTTTGCTTCATGTGTTGAAGCTCTGTGGCCAACAGTCTTCAGATGGCTGGAGTCAGGCAGTGCCTTTGGACTGAGGTCTGTGGAGTAGTTTTATATATTGTTATAATGATCTTAAACTGAAAAGTGAATGTAACACTCTGCTCATTTTGGTGACGGAGGACACAGGATCGAGCAAGGCATGGGGGGTGGAAAGAGTTCCACTTTCTTCTTTTAAACCAGTTGTGAGCCAATGTATACGGATACAGTGCATAAAAATAAGGGTTTTTTTTTTTTTTTTTCAGTTCCTCGTCCGATCCAATAGTTAATACTGTAAGAAATGATGTCGCATAAAATGTTGTTTATATTGTATTTTATATGTATTTATAAAAATAAATGATCAATGTACTTTGAATTAGTTTCATTTTGCCTGTTTCTTTTCATTTTGAATTGTTAAAAGAAATAAAATCCCTCACAGAATTACAGTAATAAAGGTAACAATTGCAACACTAGACAGAAGAATATTGACAGACTTAATTTAAAATGCAATTTAATAGCAGAGCTGAAACTACCAGATTGAAACTTAAGTATAACATAAAAGAACTGCTTAGCCTTGATAAGTGATAATCAACTTTGTTTAAGCTACCCTTGATTTAGTTTTTATTCTTGCAGAGTACAGCAGCTTCACTTGGGCTGCATTGCTAAATAGGAAGACAAGACTACTACACTATAATGACATGCACTCTGGTAAGTTTAAAATCTACTAAAATATAACTAAAAGGACTCTTTGCAAGCAATCTTTGAAAAAGTTATGTAAGAAAACTGAACAGGGAAGCAAAAACATGGGTTGAAATTCTAATCTGGGCATAGCCTTGTGACTGACAAAAAAAATACATCTCATGATACATTTTCTTCATGATACATTTTCTTCATGGTAACATTTAATAAGAACCTATAGTTGTAGGGAACTGTTTAAAAACTGATTCTTAGACCTGACTGTAATGAGCTCTTTTTACCAGTAGGAGGCGTTAAACAAACTAGAAGTTTTGCTCTGTACAGTTTTCAGTGCAATATAGTATGATGGATTACCAGCAATAGATGCAATTAATTTCACATTAATGAAAAAGAATTGCCCCCCCCCCCNNCCCCCCCCCCCCCCCCATTAAGTCATCCGATTAAATGTATTATTGAGCAATACTCAATTGTAATCTCTTTGTTTCTATGTATCTGCAGGATAATGAACTGTGAATTGCATTTTGTTGTTGGGTGAAAAGCTTCTTTCTCTAAAACATTAGTTTCCAGAACAGAGGAATTGATTTTTGTCCTACCAACCATACATTGTTCAATTTTCATGTTAAGGTATTTTAAGATGATTTTATTAACCAGTAGAGGAGCATATTTTAATCTCCTGAAATTATGGCAACAAAGCTACACAGGAATAACCTAAGAACAACATGTTATTTTCCCAGAGAGGCCAGATCTCAATCAAAGACAACAGCTTTTCATTCATTATGTCCATGCAACATGACAAAGCTTTTTCATAGAATGGAGAAAGTTGCAGTGTCCAGATGTGCAAACCTGATGGAGAGACCTATCCAGACTGACTCAATGATGTCAAAGGTGCATCCACAAAATGCTGACATAAAGGGGGTGGAATTTGTAATGAATTTACATCATTATGCATCTGTTTCCACTTTGACATTAAAGGATAGTTTTTCTGTTGATGCGTGTCAAAAAAGCCACATTAAATCTACTTTGATTCAATGTTGTAAGACGATTAAACACCAAGAATTCCAAGGGTGATGAATATTTCTTTATAGACATTGTATATCCAATATATTTAGATATCAGCAATAGAACAATTATATAATATATTTTATATATATGAAAACATGCTGATCTTTCTGTCTAACACTCAACAACTGACAACCCACACTTCCCCCTCTCCATTACACAAACACACCCAGAAAACAGGAGAGCACGCTGACCTGTCTGTTAGATATCAGAACGTCCTTCTGCACTTAAGTGGCACATAATCATATGTCCACCAACCAGCAGCCCTTGAGCTTTTTATTGGATGACACTCAGCTGTGTGATGGCAAATACAAGAGCTTTTCATACATAAAAGGAAGCTGACGGTGCAAGATACAAATACAAATGACGGAAATCATTTAAAGCCTGTTTTGCTTCCCATATAAATGTACTGTGGTAAATGAGTGCTGAAACTAACAGACTGAATGGAGAGACGAGATCAGGCAGCAGGGCAGCCTAACCCTCGGTTAGGGCATGGATGATCGCTCTCCACCATGATGAGTTCCAACAACCCCTGTCTGTCTCCAAGCCACCCTCGCAGGCCCTTCCCTGGTTTTACTATGGGAGAGGCCGTGATAAGTAGGTCATTATCGGGTTGAATGTGTGAGACATCGCTGCAAATATGTGTAACACAAATGAGGTGAGTCAGTAAGCTGCCTTTCATCACATGATTATAAAATGAATGTTTTAATGTTAGAAAAATTCCAGTTAAAGTTTAAAGCATTTGATTGTTTCAGTGTTCATATTTGCCATTGCACACAACATTTTACTCAAATTTGCTTAATGAAGAACAGCAAAAGTGGCAAAATGATAATCAGACTAATTAACATCTGCCATCTCCCATATTTTAGAGACTCGTGTTTGTAAGAAAGATTGTGCTGATGTCCAATAACATCCGGATCATTAACTATGCGCAAACCTCAAACTGTAATTCATTACATAGATATGTTGCAACGTCAGTCTCAATTAAGTTTGATAGTGGAAATAAACACTTTATCCTAACATTATGTGCTCTGTCTGTCATGTGCTCTGTCCATAAATAAGTTCAACAGGCTCTAATTGCATTTGTGCAGTGACATTTTTTCTGCATTTTAATCTATTTAAATTTGAAATGGACCATTGACAGTGGTGTTAAAGTGCAGTTTATTTGATTTACAGTATTTAATCCATATGAATCACCAAGAAACCATCTGTAAAAGTGTCCTGACTGGAAAAAAGATTAAATGAAATTTTTTTTAATGTTATCAAAAGTCTCAGTTTCTTACTATGAACAAATGAAATTTTCTGTCAAAGTTTTAAGAGTTGTAAATAATAAATGTATGTCACATCTGAGCACCATTCAGGGTTTAGCAATATTTGAATCAAAATGCGATGACGGTTCCTGTGCCATTTGCTTAGCTTGGCAGGCAACCACATCCACACAGTCCTTATGAAAAAGATTAGCTGTATGTTGAGTTCAACTCTTAATAAATAAAACTTACAAATGTATTTTGTCCATCTTTAATGTTAATTGTTGCTTATTGAGTTATTCTCATTTAAGCATGCAATAACTGATTTGTTTGGCCAGCAGAAACCAGTTGTAAACATAACACTAACATCTTCTGATTTCTTTTTAAGTTGATATGGTGAACTTGTTAGCAAACTGTTATCTTTTTACCCTTTCAACACATATGGAGCACATTATTGTTCATTTGGAGTTGTTGCTAGAACAACCTGGCGAATGCAAGTCTAATTGTCACACTTATTTTAGCTCTGTGTTTGGTCTCCACTAACTCATAGGACAAATATCTTGCTCTTTAGCTGCTAAGAGCTCCAATATATTGTGAGTTGCTCATTTGGTCTGTCTGCCAGTGCTGGTTAGGCAGTGTACAGTAGGTTTCTTGCTGAAAACAGCTCCCTGTTGCAGTTATAAATAATGCTATGCAGTTAAATTGAATCAAACCAATTATCTGAAAAATTATTAAAACCCACAGAACTAAGGGGACCTCTAGAGCCCAGTGATAATTATCTGTTCATAACTTTGGACCTTTCATATAAAATTAGTCATGTGATCCATCCATTATTAAAAGAAAGACAATATTGATTAATACTTATGTTTTGAAACCAAGTTTTCAG